CAAAACACAACAAAATAAATAAGCACTTCCCCACCGCCGCTGCCAAGGAGAACAGTGTGAGGGGCCTCTGGGACATCAAACATATCAACATTCTCAACGTTGGGGACCAGAAGAAGAGAGAGCAAGGAATTGAACACCCATTTGAAGAAATAATGATGGAAAACATCCTTAACCTGCCAAATGATATAAGACATATAAGCCCAAGAAGTTCAGAGAGTCCTAAACAAGATGAATCCAAAGAGGCCCACACCAAGGCACATCGTAATTAAAATGCCAAAGGTTCAAGACAGAGAAAAACTTAAAAAGTAGTTATTTACCTAAAAAGGAGCTATCATAAACTGTCAGCTGATTTCTCAACAGAAACTTAGCAGGACAGAAGGGAAGGCATGAAATACATTACTTCACCCAGCAAAGCTCTCATTTAGAATTGAGGGAGTGATAAAGAGCTTGCCAACAAGAAAAGGCTAAGGAGTTCATCACCACCAACCAGTATTATATGAAATGTTAAAGGATCTTTTTTAAGAAGAAGGAAAGAAGATACAAAAAACAGATAATAAAATGTCAAAAACGACATAGCTACCAACAATGCCTTTAAATGTAAATTGATTACATGCTCCAATCTGAAGACAGGTGGCTGAATGGACGAGAAAACGAGACCTTTACATATGCTGCCTGTAAGAGACTCATTTCAGGTTCAAAGACACACAGTCCGAAAGTATAGGGATGGAAAAAGTTATTTCATGAAAATGTAAACAAATAAAAAAGCTGGGGAGCAATATTTATATCAGACAAAACAGGCTTTAAAACAAAGGCTATAAAAAGAGATAAAGACCCATCAATTCTACTTTCAGCTATTTATCTGAAGAAACCTAAAGCATTAATTTGGAAAGATGTATGCATGCCTATGTTCACTGCATTATTTACAACTAAAGGCCCAGTACATGAAAATTCATGCACTGGAGGTGGGGGGGCTGTGTGTGTCCCTCAGCCGAGCCTGCCCCCTCTCACAGTCCGGGAGCCCTCAGGGGCGGCAGCGGTTAGGGAAAGACAATGCCTCTGTCACACCTCTGCTGCCGCCATTGTCAGCAATGCAAGCTTCAGCTGGCCCTGGTCACCTGCGCTTCAGGTGGCCCTGGACGGCTGGGCAGTCTACATCTGATGTTTGCTAATGTGTGTGTGTGGGGGAGGGGAGGGAGATAGAGGGGCTGGGTGAAGTAGGTGAAGGGACTGAAGAGTACAAACTGCTGGTTATAAAATAGTCACGGGCTATGCAGACTGCAGCGTAGGGAATACAGTCAATGATATTGTACTATTGATAGTTATTTATGGTGTCAGATGGGTATTGATTTATCAGGGTGATCACTGGTGTAAGTCATGTACATGGCTAATAACTATGTTGTACACCTGACACTAATATACCATTATATGTCAACTGTAATGGAAAAATAAAAAAATTATTCTAAAAAAGGTAACTGGCATCTCTGAGCCTGACGTTCTTCTGTGAAGTGGAGGTGAATTAGAACTACCTCGTGGGATGGTTGGGCAATTGAGCGAGCTAGTAAGCATCACACACTTGAAGGGCACCCAGCACCCAGTGCACACGGGGTGTCTGATAAATAACTGAAAAGCATCAGCTCCTTCGAAGACAGAGCTGCTTTGGTCTTCTGACCCGGACATCACTCCCTGGGGCTCAGGCCAATGACCCAAAGTAAGTGCTCAGTAGATAATGGCTGAAACAAACTGTCCGTGTGTAAAAGGGCTCCTATAAAACTAGACTGCCCGACACTCAGGTGAAACAGTGCAGTGAGATATTTATGCAGGGATGCTCACCGTAATATTGAGTACAAAAACACCTAAGTGTCCATCTACTTACTACATGGCGACTGGTTAAATAAATTACGAATATGCATTCACAGTGGAGCATTAATAAAGAATAAAGTGGCACGGTATGGGATAACATGGAAAGATCTCTAAGACACCTAAGAGTGAAAGGCAAGAACAGAGTGAAATGAACGAGAACCCACATGCACATGTCATTTATGTGAGTTCTCTGAAACTGTGTACTAGACTCTGTAACAGTGGCTGCCTACAGGGAGGAAAGGAAGCAACCTGGACTTGAACCTTTTTAAGTTCTTTACCACAGGAAGCATTCCATCAGGCACATTTATTATGCTTACTCAAAAACGGTTCAGTGTTGTGTGTTGTTGCAATATAGTTTTCCTCTCTGGAACCAGGACAAGCTGCGAGAAAAACAGCTTGAGCAGGGAAAGCGGTGGTGAGCACCTGGGAAGGAAGGAAGGAAGGTGGTTTTACCGGCAGATCTGCCAGTTCACTGAGGTGGCCACTGAGGACCAGTCATGTGTGTAAATAAACAGTATCCGGGCCAATGCTGACGGAGAACTTACATGTGTCAGACACCATGCTCAGCCTTTCCAAGTAGTATCCCATTCCACCCTACCTATGAGGAGGCACGGTTACCATCATCATTTTTTGCAAAGAGAGATGGAGACATGAGCGTCAGGCAACTCGCAGGAGGGCGCAGGGCTCAGCCACAGAGGGGCTGAGATCCAAACTCAGCAGAGCTGCAACACAGCCTGAGTGCCTGTACGTACAGCACACAGTAGGTGCCTTGAGAGGTGGTCCAGCGGGGGGAAGGGCAAAGGAGAGGAGGCTCTCAAAAATCTACCCAGCCCCATCTTATCACACCACCTGGCGTTTAATAAAACCTGCGCTGTGCTTTCAGCTGGTAAGAGTCAACATCAAAGACTTCAGCTAGTTCTAAAAATTATGAGCCATCTCACATGGTAAGGAAATTACAGAGCCAAAAGGTCAAACGCTAAAGAACACTGCCGTCAAATGCCTTCAAAACGGAACAGATTAATCTTGGGCAGAAGAAAATTTCAACTCCAAAACAGCTAAGCAACATTCCCAGAAAGACCGGGCCATGGGAGGTGATGAGATATTTTTTGAAAAACCTTTCTCTGTTGCCACATACCAGCAGATTGTGCTAACAATGTTTTAGTTATATCTAGGGAATTCCTTTGGAGGTTTCCAGGAAAGAGTGTGGGGTGTGGAAGTCACACTGAGTTGGGTTTGGTTCCTGGCTCTAGTATTCTGGCACCAGCTCTCCAACCTTCCAAAGCTCAACCTGGGAGACGTTCCTAGGGGCTACCTGGCCTCAGCACCCCGTCTACGGCATGGTGGTAATAGTGACTTTGGCCAAGCAGTCAAGTTAAGTGGGAAAGCACAGTGATTCCACCTGTGTACTCGCAACAGAAACACCTCAGTGAAATGAGTTTCTTTTCCCTTCTTCTCAGACCAGCTGTCCAGCCCACATGCTTTTCCTTTTCAATTCCACACTCTGGCTTTGCACGACCACTCTCTCACCCTTAACCTCTCCAAAAGGGCAAGTGGATGCCTCTAGTTTCTATTTTAGGGGACTCTAGTTCCCCAGGAGGGCATAATGACTAATATTAGAAAAAGACTATTCACTTGCTGCTAACCAAGGCGGAGTCACATTTGCTCTGTCCTCAGCCTTGCATTTTTAACTAGACGCACATCTCTGAGACAGCGAGTGGAAGAGGCTCCGGTACTTTCCCGCCCTCGCCTCACTCCGAGTCCTTAATGAACAATTCTTGCTTCGGGCTCTCTGAGATTCCTTCCTCAGCCCCAAACCACCAGGAAAGTAAGACAATTGATCATTATCATTACTCAAAGGAAATATTCCTGAGTTCACTATCAGGAATTTGATATCATCTTAACACTGTCCAGCGTATACTCACAATTTTGAAATGAGCAGCAGGCACAAAGAATATAAAGACAGGATCAGCACCCAGACTCAAGATCACCCCTTAACGGACAGCCTGGAACAGAGGCTACTCTCACGGCAAAGCCACACAGTCCCCAACAAAAGTCAGCTTCGTACTGACCCTTTGTTTTTAAGTCTAATCTACTGAAAATACCCCAGTAATTGTCCAATAAACCCAAATGTTCAGAGTTCATAAAGACATACCATAATAATTTGACCTAGTTAATAGCATATTATATCCTCCTGTCTCAAACAGTAACACCCAGAAGAGCAATCAAGCAGTAATATCGCTTTCAGAAAATGAAAGTTTAATTTCCCCCCACATTTGGTTTTGACCTTGCAATCTCACTCATGGTATCTCATCCTACAGATATGATTCCACTTGTGTGAAATGGTTTATCTCCACACTATTCAATGCAATAGTATTCTGAAATATTAAAAATATTTATCAAAGGGAGCAGGTTAAATAGTTATGGTATGCTCACACAAAAAGAGCATATAGCCACTTAAAAAAGAAAAGAAGTGCTCTGGTATTGAACTGCAAAGACTGTAAGACACGCTGTTGAATAGTCTTTGCAGTTTGACTACCTGTTGTGTAAAACAGGGAAGAAATAAGAACACACACATAAAACACACACATGTATTACACACACATATTTACATAAAGAAATTTCAGAACAGTAATCAGAAACTAATAAGATTAGTGGTAGTATTGGAAGGAGAAAGAAATGAAAATTAGGCAGGTGATAATCGGTATATGGAAGAGATTAATGAATATTTTAAATATTTTTCTTTATGAGCCATGTAAATGTATTATCTACCTGAAAAATACATTAAAATTAATTAATAGTAAAAATGACATTCCATTCCTTCCTGTCAAGATGAAAACACCACTCCCTAGAGATCCCATTTGTGACTGATTCAGTCTTCTTCCCCTTCCCTCCAATACCACACAGGCCCATATTGATAAACAAAACACGCCTATTTAAATTAATAAAGTAAACTGGAAAACTTGTAGAAGAAGAATATGCCACAAAAGCTACTTTTAAAGAGCTACACAAAGCCTATTCCTCGTAGTTTATTGCTCACAGGAGGGTGACCTGCAGCCTCCTGGGGCTGTGCAGACTCGCTAGTTCACATGGCACTTCTGCCCGGATGGCCCGGGTCCCCGGGGGCGGGGAGAGCAGCTCACCTTCATAGGTGCCGACCTCCAGGAGAGTCCCGCTCTGCTCCAGGTCCAAGAACTCCTTCACAGTCAGGAAGCTGTAGTCCACGCCGGGCACTTCTCCTTCCCTGGGCGAGCGGGTTGTGCCTGCAGCAGACAAGACGAAGGCACAAGAAACCATCACTCAGCGAGGACAGGAAGCGCCACATCCAGGTGTAATTAAAATAACCTGTTCAGTCAGCCGGCGTGCCTGAGACTCCGAGGCTGATCTGCCCAGGCAGGGACCTGGGAAGACAACTTCTTTCTAACAGTGGAGCGGCCCCACCTCCACCCTCCTTGCCTGGGACTCTCACACAGGAGCAGGAGACAGACAAGCACAGCCAGGTAGCCCGGGGAGAGCTTTATCCTTTTAAGAATGCACTGAATGAAGAAGCGAGGCTGGGTTTTGCACAGAAAGCATTCATAATCAGCAGCTTTGAGGATTCGGATAAATACTAACGCCTTATCCACCTTAAGCGCAAAGCCTCGGAGGTTTATGTTTTTATCACAGGCCTTGAGATTCTTGTGTTCCTTTGTACATCTGGCAAGTTCCAATGTAATGAGCCCTTTGCAGGAAATGACCCCCACCACATAAACACAACTCTGGGGACTTACGATTGCCCGGGATCTGCAGTTGGTTATCTCCCAGGGACAGAATAATGTGGCTGCTCTCCATGTAATTAATATGTTGGGTAAAAAGAGGCCATCCAGAGTTCTGATTTGAGAGAAAGGACACTGCATTTTGCTAAAAAATTCTCCCCCTGATTCAAACTGGTTATTCTCACAATAACTAACAAATAGACCAATGCCTCTTATGAAATAACCACATCAAGCCCCTAGGTCAGTGGTCGGCAAACTCATTAGTCAACAGAGCCAAATATCAACAGTTCAACGATTGAAATTTCTTTTGAGAGCCAAATTTTTAAACTTAAACTTCTTCTAATGCCACTTCTTCAAAATAGACCCGCCCAGGCTGTGGTATTTTGTGGAAGAGCCACCCTCAAGGGGCCAAAGAGCCGCAGCTTGCCGACCACGACGCTAGAGGATGCGAGTCACCAGCTCAGGTGCTGGCTGTGGGCCTATCATCTCAACAAAGCAACGTGGAGATGTGTGGTTTATACCTAAGCCAGGAAAAGGAAATAAAGCAAGATGCAATTATGCAGTGTGTACCAGGAACCCATACTATTATGAAAGACCAAAAGAAGCAAATCTCATGTTTTCGGCTCCCATGTTCAAGTTAGGGGATGTAGCTGACATGGTTCATTCTGAGAGGCCCTGTCACTCACGCTGCTTAACAGATCAGTGTTTTCTTATACCACGAGCAGGGATTATCCCTAGTCCTAGGAATGTGAAAGCAACTAAATAACCAACTGCATGCACCCAGTGGTTCACATGTTCCCAGGACAGTGCAGTCTCTGATCACATGTGACTGATCATATCCACACGCATGCAGTGCTATCCAGAATGTCCTTCATTTAAAAAAAACCACACGTCTGCATGTTTTACTCAAGATAAGTGCATTGTTATATGAGCCCAGTTTCCTAATAAATCTGAGTGTTTTGAATAGCTGTGAGTTTTCCAAAGGGTGATTATATTACCAGTCTTTGCTTATCACCCAGCATGCTGCAGCTGTCTGGTAGAGCAGCCTGCTTGTGGCGTACCCAGAAGTCCACTCTTGTACTGTTTCCTAGTTTGTCCCATTTCTGGCTCCCCTGGCATACAATGACAAGTCCCTTGAGGGAGCTCACAACTTTTCCATTTATAACTTGTGTCAGGCCCACAGCAGGCACTCCAGAAACACCAAGAATACCTCATGGTGTTGACGAGCAGGGATCTGGAGTGAGCAATGGACTGATTCATGGTCGTGCTCCCCAGGTTGTGGTGTTGAGCAAGTTCCTTAGCTCCTGTTATTTTTCAGTTTCCTCATCTGCAAAGTAGCAATCACAATAGAACCTCCACCATAGATCTGTTGTGTATGTTGCATGGGATGATTCTTTTAGAGGACTTAGCTCAATAATTCTTAGCAGATATTATCTAACCTAATAATAGAGTGACATACAAATTAACTCTCACTCCGCTACACCAGCCACGCCCACTAGCCAATCAGAGCGAGTATGCAAATAAACCAAACAAGATGGCTACAGAGAGAGCAGGAGGTAGGCTTGGGTTTCCCAGGCAACAGAGGAAGCCAAGTTTCCACCTGCCTTTGCTGGCCTAGGCCTCCACTCAAGGCTACAAACGTTTAATTATAGAAGGTAAACAGATCCCAACAGAAATGGCTGCCGCCACAGAGCGAGCAGGAGGCTTGGCTCCCTAGGCTACAAAGTTCCAATTGTAGAAGATAAATTAATCCCAGACGCCAGGGCCTCCGCTTGGGTCACCAGTGGGTGTGGCTGGCCTGCAAACCACCACAGACCCCTCGCTCAGGATGCCCCACGTCCCAAGGGAACCTCCACCCTGATCCGGGACACCCTTTAGGGCAAATCAGCTGACCCCCACCCATGCACCGGGCCTCTATCTTATCTAATAAAAGAACTGCAACACACAATAGCTGCCCCCATGTGGTCAAAGATGGCTGCCCCCATGTAGACACAAGATGGCCAACACAAGATGGCCAGCAGGGAAGGGCAGTTGGGAGGCACCAGGCCTGCAAATGAGGGCAGTTGGAGGCCATCAACCCTGCAGGGGAGGGAGGTTGGGGGCAAACAGGCTGGCAGGAGAGCAGTTAGACATCAATCGGGCTGGCATGGGAGTGGTTAGGGGGTGATCAGGCTGACAGGCAGAAGTGGTTAGGGGCAATCAGGAAGGAAGGCAGGCAGGTGAGCAGTGGGAGCCAGAAGTCCTGGACTGTGAGAGGGATGTCCGACTGCCAGTTAATGAGCAGTCGGACATCCCTTGAGGGGTCCCATATAGGAGAGGGTGCAGGCTGGGCTGAGGAACATCCTGCCTCATGCACAAATTTCATGCACCGGGCCTCTAGTAGTTTATAAACAATAACATAATTATTGTTACAATGAAATGAGTTAATAAAATCTTGTAGTTCAAATGATTTATACATTTACCATTACATAGATTCTTACATTCCATTTAGTTAATAAATTAGAGACCCTAGGCAAGAATTCGTGCACCAGTGTAGTCCCTCTGCCTGGCCTGTGGGATCTGGCCAAAACCAGCTCTCTGACATCCCCCAAGGGGTCCCAGATTGTGAGAGGGTGCAGGCCAGGCTGAGGGACCTCACCGGTGCACAACTGGTGCTGGGGAGGGACATGAGAGGTTGGCCAGCCAGGTAGGCACCACAAGACCATGGATATCTCCCAGGGACAGAATAATGCATCTCCATCCCACCTTGCTCAGTCCCGATCAGTTGGACCCCAGCAGCAAGCTAATCTACCAGTTGGAGTATCTGCCCTCTGGTGGTCAGTACATGTCACAGCGAGTGGTTGAGTGGCCTTAGCATATCATTAGCATATTATGCTTTAATTGGTTGACCAGCTGAGTGGATAACCAGACACTTAGCACATTAGGCTTTTGTTATATAGGATATTTACTGAGGACCCAATAGATGCCAGGCACTAAATTAGGGCCTGGGAAACATTCATGAACAAGACAAAGCCCCTACTTTAATGGAACTTATATTTTACTATGAAAGATAGAAAACAACAATGGATGTGAAGAGATACAGCATTTAATTTCAAGAGGGACTAAGTCTTTTGTGGGAAACATAGGTTAAAGCATTAGAAAGTATCTCAGAGCAACATAAGTGAAAGGGCTTGGAAGTGTCTTGGAGGAAGGAAGGAGGGTTGAGAGGAGAGAAGCTACTTTAGATTGGTGATTAGGAAAGGTGGCTAAGAAGGTGCCATCAAAACCGAGAGCCCTGCGAAGGTGATGGTGGGAAGAGCATTCACGGAGGGGTTCAGGCTCAGGTCTTTGATGTGGCAATAGGGTTGGCATGTTGTGGGTAGGGCAAGGAGGCCGGAGAAACTGCAGCAGAGCAGTGAAAAAGAGGCTGGAAATGAAAATGAAAGTGAGGGGACAGGTTCCGTAAGCCACAGAAAACACTCCCTGCTTTATTCTAAGGGTGTGGGAAGATGAGCAATGCCATGATTCATTTTTCAAGGAGCATCTGGCTTTTCAGAGTTGAACAGGCCATGGACAGAGTAGCTGGGGTCCCAAACAGGTGCCGTGACAGTGTCCGTGTGAGAAAACTCAGGGCGAGGATAAGAACACCAGGAAGAAGGTGGAAAGAAACAATCAGATTTTTATCACAAACCACTGAGCATCTTGTTTTTTTCTTTCTTAAATCCTCACCTGAGGACATGCTTAGAGAGGAAGGAGGGGACACACTGAGCAACATGGTTTGGTTGCCTCTCATACGTTTCCTGACCGGGGATCCAACCCACGAGCTGGACATGTGCCCTTGACTGGGAATCAAACCAGCCACAGGACAATGCTCAAGCAACTGAGCCACTCCAGCGGGAAATCGTTGATGTAGTCCACAGCACAGATATATTAAAAGTATGTCAACTTATTGGGCCGTGCTTGGTCTATATTTTTTAGACACAACTTGCTAATGGAGTGGACATGATACTGCTGTAATTAGCCAATTATTGACTATAGGAAAGGAGCAAAGGGAAGGCCAGATATTGTAGGCATGTCACTTGGGCAGCTTCACCAGGAAGCTACAATTCTGCACGCCCCAGGATACACCCACCCATTCCCTGCAGATCACTGGGGAAAGGGGTCCACAAAGGGGAGATAAACACATGCCCTGTGAAGTTGGGGTGACAGGAAAAGTACTTGTCTGTCAGTCAAACCTGGGGAAAGAGATGCCCTGATACATGCATCTGGGATACATAATCCCCTAAACCCATAGTCAGCAAACTTCAGCTCACGAGCCACATGCAGCTCTTTGGCCCCTTGAGTGTGGCTCTTCCACAAAATACCACGGCCTGGGCGAGTCTATTTTGAAGAAGTGGCGTTAGAAGAAGTTTAAAAAATTTGGCTCTCAAAAGAAATTTCAATCGTTGTACTGTTGATATTTGGCTCTGTTGACTGAGTTTGTCGCCCACCGCCCTAAACAAAAGAATAATCTCTCCTGTTGCACTGGA